AATATAATTTTAAATGAACAACTACCTACCTTCTGTTATAACCATAATTAGTGATATACTCTCATGTGATTATGGCAATGTATTTATAGGCAGATATAAAATACATAACTGATATAGATTATCTTTAAGCAACAGCAATAGTTTCTTTACTATTAAAGTTGTAGATGCTCATGCTGTATGATCACATGTATAGCATTACCATTCAGTCTCAAAATAAATGCCCCTTAGAATCTATTTGTATATAATGACATGAATTTTTCTGAATGGTTTCAGAAATTGATTCTCAGTAAGTAGCTATTGATCTTCAATGTAGCTATGTTTCCTTTATGCTTGTATTTCTTTATAAATATTTCTAGCCACGATTATGTAAAATATAGATTATATAAAAATATAGTATCCATTCCTTGTAGAAAAAGAGAAAGTATTATTTAAGGTTATATAGCTTAAATTTTATATAGGAAGAATAGTTCCCTTTTAAAATGTTTTATGACCCATGCATTTGAATGATACTAAATAAACTGCATTATTGACAGAGGAAGTTAGAATAAAAAAGGAACAAGATATTTAAAGCATGGTCTTACAATGTTAACTTTAAAATTTTTTTAAGAGTTTGCCTTGTCATTAGGCACAATAAGTCACGTGGTTGTTTTTACTGTGACATCGTGTTTGGATGACACTACACCACCTCTGCTTCCAGAGTATCCTGAGATGAATGATATTAAGACTGTGGCACAGGATGGATGGGAGAGGTGGGGTGGACAGGGCAAGGTACAGCACCCAGAAGTGGTGGACAGAGCCTAATAATGGTCACAGATGGCTCCACATTGATCCATTCTTCCTAATGGGCTGCTGTTTCTAAGTTTCTTCAGTTATAGAAATACCCAGAATCCAGTGGTAGTACTTCAACAGTGGATAACATATGTTGAGAGTTTATTAGGTTTTGGTGTATACATTGATAGCCATTTATTAAGGTTAATTCCATATATTTATTGAACATTGATTAACTGCAGTTGGCTTTTCAGATGAGGAAAAATTGTTCCTCTTAACTGTCAAACTTCCATAATGTCTTTGCCACCTTCTTTTTTGGTCACATTATGACCTCTTGCCTTTAATCTCTCCAATGAAAATGCTCGTGTTTAGAGAGCAATCGCATCTATGATGGTAATCCAAGGGCAATTTCTATCCTTTTTCTGGGATCTCAATTCTGAAAGTATGGTCTCTCTGGGCACCAGGCGAAGGGCTCTTGAGATGCTACAGTTTTCACTCTGCTTTGAATAGTAAACACAAACAAAATGACAAGACCAGTTTTCTCTTTCTGAGTTAGGATGAGGACTGGTACAAGTGAGGAGTGTAAATGGAAAGCCACACCATCTCTCTCCTCCAGCCCTGGGCTTCAGTCTGCTATGCAACCTAACATGAGGGAGAAAGCAGAGTGTTTGCTTTTCTTCAGTCCCTAGAGTTTGGCAGCCACTGTCCCTTTTATTGCTCCTCTCCCTGGCTGTCAAATGCTCCTAAATCTGCTGTCCTAAAAGTTCCAAAGACAGTGTGGAGAGAATCCATTTACAAGAGGGGGTAAACTTTCATAGGAAGTAACTTTAGTGGGAATTTGTCACAATGTATTTTATATGTACAAAGCTTAGTCATAATTGTTGTCCAATATGAAGTTATTGGAATAAACAAAGAATAAATCAATCTTTTTTTGGTAGATTCTTTCCAACATGGTTGGAATTACATGATGGCTGTAATTCATTTTCTATTTCTGTGCTACAAATCGTGACCACCTTTGCTACTTAAAACTATCTGAATTCATTAGCTTACGTCTTGTAGGTACCATTCCCTATCCTTGCGGCTTGCCCAGGTTTTAAGCTCAAGATCTCACTTGGGTAAGATATGCCTTTCCAATCTATTTCAGCATTAGCAGAATTCGGATCTAAATTCAGCTCTCGAATCTAAGGGCCTCCAAACTCCTGGTTACAGAGCTTCTCTGTCTTGAACAACTGAGCAGAGAATCCTTTTTTGACCTGGAATCCCTGACTTTCCCTTCTGCTTCCAGGCACTTGAAGGCTGCCTGGTCTGACTAGGTCACCTCAATTACCTCCCTTTTGCCTGCAAATAACGTAACCCAGAGAGAGACTTCACAACCACTCACAGGGGAGGAGCTTACATATTAAGGGCCAGAGTCACTGGTGGTAGTGGCTGCCCTGAGGGCAACCTTGTCATCACCCCAAGGTTAGCACTGTTTGGTGTGCCCGTCACATCATGCTTACAACTGATTCCCACTGCTTCAGTGGCTGCCAAGTTCTAACTTGCCTGCTCTTCTCTCCTTAGTGGGTTTGCCAGCAATCCCGGTACTTTTACACCACTTCTACTGCATCTTTGCAAGAGCTGTGATTTCATGTAACAAGCAATTTGTACTTGCTCTGCAGGATGCTGTGGAGTATCCTGTAATCAGTGACAGACCAGCAGATGCAGAAGTGTGAAGCTCTGAGGGGTAAAATGCTCATTCAAGGTCATGCAGCTGGAAGTGGAAATCCATCTGATTTTTTAAAAAAGTATTTTTAGCAATATCTGCTAATATCCATTTGTACTATACACTCTGCATTGGGTGGCAATCCTTGTATTTCTTCTTGATAAACTTCTATCCCCCTGGGTTTACATGGCTTCCATGTGAAACCTTCTCTGACCCATCTAATCTCTCTTCCTGCTGTACCTGGTGAAAAGAGCTAGTGTCCAGGTTGCTCCTGGATTCCTCAGCAGGAATTGTTAAGTTTCGTCAAACTTAACAAATTAACTTTGTTTCCAGGAGGATCTGTTTCTCATCTGAATATAATTTCCATGAATTATTAATATTATTTTTCTGAACCATCAACCTTCGCTTACGTGTGTTCCTTTTACCATTCCTAATTTACATGCCTTGGACAAACAGAACAGCAAAGGTAGAATTGTGGGTTTTCTTGGGGTCCTTTAATTACAAGACTTAGGGAAACCAGAAACATATTGAAAAACTGAGAAGATGTGAAGTCTGATCCATAACCACGCACGGTTGCTATGACAGCAAGAACTTTACAGCATTCCATAAGGACAAGTAAAGAATAGTCTTTAGAGTTGGAGGTACATTTGCTTTAGTTAACTTCACTAGAGAGGAGGAGGGCTTTGGGAGAATTTTGTTTTAGAACAACAAAAGCAACAAAAAACTTATAAAAGAGAAGATGATTTGTTTTATAGAAGGAAAATTTCAGTGTACCTCCAAGAGAGAAAGATTACACATTGCTCCTGTTGATTCTGGTCAAATTAGTGTAGGGCTGTGGTTCTCAAAGTGTGGTCTCCAATACTAAAATACCAGCATTGCCTGGGAATTCATTTGATTCCAAAGACCCAGTTTAGACCTACTGAATCAGAAGATCTGAAGAGGAAGGTAGTAGACAGGAATACAACAAAAAGATATCCAGGTGGTTCTGATGCATGCCTGCAGGTGATGGATAATACAGTTGCCCATCAAATTTCTCATCTATTCCACCAATAATGCAACAGCCTGAATGGAGGCCTGGCCAGCAGAAAATCCACTTTACCAATTCTCTGTGGATGGTGTAAGTATGATACAAACTAAGTTGCTTAGATTGTCCTTCTTATTTTTATTTTAAAGAGAATAGAAAAATAATAGATAAAGACATTAGAAACTATTCTATTTCAAAAAGAACCCAAAAATATGATAGGAATTCAACAATGGCTGGCTGTTAGGGCCAGGGGGATAACTCAGTAGAATAAATGCTTGCCTGGAAAGCACAAGGTCCTGAGTTCAATCCCTGGTACCACAAAACAAGCAAACAAATAAACTTCCCCTGTTTAACAATGGCTGTTATATTGCATATTGCTGTCTTTTATGTAGTTGCTCAGATAATCAGATATAAGCATGTAAAACTGGTCAAAGTAAACATTTTAGGCATTAACTGTTACCTTCAAAAAGCTTATAGAAATTAGTAGTGTAATCATCTATCCTGTGTATATACATATATGATTTTTCCCCTTTCCCTCTTTATTCCTCTTGTGTAGTTTCTTTCCCTTTAACTGTATCTATTATACCTTTGAGATTTTATTCTTTTAGGTTCTTAGACCAGGGAGACAATACAATGTTTACATATGTGGGCCTAATTTATTTCACTTATGATTATAACCTCTAGTTGCATCCATTGATCTACAAAAATCTCAAATTTATCATGCAACAGAATACTTTACCAAGAACTATAATGTCCTTTACATACACTAATACACTTAAACTGGCAATGACAGTAGAGTACACTTCCTCTAGTGTACACTTTCTCAATCTTTTCTTAAAAGTGAGGAAACATCTAAGGAGATCAAGCAACTTATACAAGGTCATACAGCTAAGTAAGTACAACTAGAATCTAGATCAATGAAGCTCATATTTTCTTGACAGATATTCCTTGACTCATGAGGAGCTTCTGTCTCAATAAGCCCAACCTAAGTTAAAAATATTCAGAGTGGAAATGTATTTGCTGTACCGTGCCTGTTGTCCATCTGAACTCAGCAGCTCAGCACACGGTAGCATGCCAATTCTTTTCTTGGGAGTGACTGCCCAGTATCACTGGAAAAGGTGAGACTATAATCCTGAATCTAGGAAAAGATCGGAATTCAGACTTTGCTTCTAATTATGGTTTCTACTGAATGTACCTTGCTTTTGTGCCATTATAAAGTTTAAGAATTAGGTTGAACCATCCCAAGTCAAGGACGGCCTCTCTTATGCACCAGTGGGTGTCTGCTGACAGAAGCATCTGAGCCTGTTGGTTTTTTTATTTAGTGAAATTGATCAGTTCTTATAACTAGATTCCATATGGCCTTCATTTTAGTTAGAAAACCAGGGACATTGTCTTAGAGTGAGCTGCAACATTAAATTACAGTTTTTACAATTTTCTGTTTTCAAGGAATTAATATCTCTGTCTCTCTGTCTCTGTTTCTTCTGTCTTTGTTTGTCTCCCTCCCTTGCTCCCTCCCTCCCTCTTCTCTCTCTCTCTCTCTCTCTCTCTCTCTCTCTCTATATATA